GCGCTCTGATACCATATTAGGAATATTGGACCTAACTCCACCTAATAAAACCGGCTTATTAGGGGAGGATTGCCATCACCTTATTAAGTGGATTATTTATATTTTTCCAAACAATGTGGGATTCTAATAAACATTATCATAAAGTTAGTTTCCAATGCTTCACAGAACTATATGCCATGCTGTAATAACATGCAGAAAAGAGTACCTTGCCCTGGAAGATTCTCATTGTCAGCACGATTGTATCTCTCATTCTACAAGGACAATGAAGCAGCATCTTGTGAGAAATCATTAATTCATGGAAGAAAGTAAAATATATGAACTAATTATTTTGCTTACCAACCAGTACATCGACCCAATAACAAACGAATTATGAAGAAAATGACAAGACCAAGAGTTAGAAAATGTCAAAAACAATTTAAAAACTTATATGTCACAATGATGCATTTGGTATCAAATCACAGCTAGTTTGTCCAAACCGACAAAGTATTCGTGCTAAGGTTCTTTTTGTAAACAGATTACTCCTTAAAAAGGTCTAAACATAAAGAAAAGGGGGAAGAACATTCTAATGTGAAGAATTCTTGCCATCAATTCCTGCAAAGTATTTTTAAACCATACATACATACATTATCTATACTATTTTTGGTGCTGGAGGATGACATCTTTTAAGCAGAGGCGAAATCCAATTTGAGTTTTCATTTGATTTGCTGCCTCAATATCTTTTAGAACACGAATTCAATTTTCTAAGCTTAACTTGAAGTAGATTTAGAGTTTCAATATTGCTATCATTAAAGAAATAACCTAAGTACGCAAAAAAGCACATTTGCTTAACAAGAAGAAGAAATTCATGATCCAATTAATAAGATAAAAATTTAAGTGAAAATGGTACACTACCGAATATCCTTATATGTGCTGAACGGATATGACGAGCCATTTGAACAGGTCAAAACAAACTGTGCTGAGAGGCCACCAGGTATTTTGATCTGCAAATGTAAGAATGAAGTATTACAACAGGAGGTGTCCCAACATATTCTCTCACAGTTTGTTATCCAACAACTACAAATTCTCCTATCAAGTTATATACATAAAGCTAACATCTATTTATCCGAGACATGTCACAAGCAGTACATGAATTCTAATCAGTTGATAAATTTAGATTTTAATTGTTGTAGAAGAGCTTTTTTAAAAAATTTAATTGGCTCAAAGTAACATACCAAAAGGTCCTTAGAATATTTCTCTGCAATTAACAAATCTTGAGTTTTCTCAACCTTAACCTGAAAGCCCGAGCCCCACAAAAGTACAGTTGTTGGCTCCCAGTTCTCTGAAGAATCTAACTGTTGAATCTTCAAGCAAGAAGCTGATCAGTTATATATTAAATGAACGGCATTCAAAAAAATATATACATGTTAAAAGGACATGGCAGAAAATTTTGAAACGTCGTTAGTTATCAATCAAATATACATTTATAAACACAAGTCCCATTCCATAGGATATAAATTAGCAGTGACCTTAAAACATTAACAAGGATCACGTGTCCTTTCTGCTGAAATCAAATTTAAAATCTTATATTGAGCTCTGATTAAGAGAAATGGTGATATTAGGTTTGCCTCATCATTCTTGTAAGTGGCTTTGGCCCCAACATAATTGGAAGAAGGGTGACAAAGGAATGAATGTGCAACGAAAGTGGTGAAGATTACAAGAAAAATTTCTCCAGAATAAAGAGAAACCGAGAAAGCCAAGATGCTACTTCAACTTGTAAAAAGGGGGGAAAAAAGAACAAACAGAAAAACAAAGTTTCATTTGCTCTAAGAACTCAATGTGTGCTTGAGTAAAACCTACCAGTGTTTGGACACTGAATGTTGCCTGGCCTTCGGAAAGATAAGTATCAATCTCCTCTTGCATCTCTTCGTCTGGATATAGCAAACCACTCATCAGATAACATTCATTTCGACGGGCAACTGTTACATAATATTTTCATAAAAAGAATATGCAAAAGCCTAATCAGGATAAGACCCACTATTTGCAGTCATCATCGCATTTACTATTTTTTTCTCATTTAGGTAAGGAGAAGGGACTGGGAAAATGGTATTTATGTTGGCTTTCCCTTTCAAAGGTTAACCTCAAAGCACAATTGTTAAATAATTGCGTTGTTGGC